ACGTATTCATGCAAACATAGGGCCTCGCAAAAATATGTCGTCGATGCAATGGAAGAAATTTGCACAGAGAAGTTTAGGTCATATTCACATAACTGATTTTTAGACTTTACAAATCCTTATAAAAAATAGACGAGGATGAATTGGGTTTTCTTTTTTTTCGAACGTCACAGAAGTTTACTTCCTGAAAGTGATTTGTTTATATGTAATAAGCATCAACTTACCTGCCGTTCCTGTGTACACATCCACCGTGAGTTTATACTGTTCTCCTGACCCGGCCACTTTAAACACGTCGTACATCGCATACCCTTTCTCACCTTCCCAATCCTCGAGATCAATTCGCAGCTGAGTATTTCCATCCACCGTTAAGTTATGAATGGTCTTTCAACCAGAGACATTCATTGTTGTGGACGAATGTGCATATTTGAGAATTTCTATTATTTATTAGTTGATTTAAGAAATAAGTATAAGAATTGAATTTCAGTGGAATGTTTGTTGTATTCAGTAAAATAAGTCAACGGCATTATCAGATATTTAAGTGTATGTAGTAGTAGTTAAGAGTTGCATTTCAACGGAATTGTAATACTCAATGGTATTTATAAGTATTCAACATTATGATCCGACGGAATAGTAATTCGGTTGAAAGTTGTAGGATTCCGTTGGATGCCGTTTAATTCCGTTGAGGACGGTGGTGGCGGTTGTTCCATCCCGTCCGACCTTTATTAGTATTTAAGTCGATGCGCGACGCGCCTCGTGGTCAGTCGTAGTTCAGTCGTTAGTTCGTCACGGTGTGAGTAGTATCTCTCCCAAAACCTTGTAAATAACTGTTAACGTGTGTTTGCCTTTAGTATTTGAATAAAGCTCCTCATTATTAGTAAATTAAGCCCGTTTTTGCAGTACACAGCATTCATGTTGAATCATTAAGTAGGCATTATAGGGAATTACTAATAGTCTGATAGACCGGATAATCCATAAGGGACCTTCCGTTGAAGAGACTAGGGCATTCCGTTGAACAGTTAGATTGAACGTGCCACTGATCCGTAGCCTTACAACCTACGTTACACCACTGAGTTATCAACACGAGTTTTGTGATACAGTGACGGGTTGCTGTTTAGCATAGAAGCAGTATTCGCCGTAACATTCATATACCGATACGCCACCTAATTAGCGGATAAGAATATTTTACTCTAAACTCACCAAGCCAGAAATCTCCTTGCGAGGTGCTATTAGAACCGTGCTAAATCCATTCTCATATTTCTATCCAGCACCGTACAGCATCATAATAAATAATTCGGCAAGGTAACAATACGTTACAAACTTACAATGCGAAGGCATGAAGTGTAACACTCGGATTTGAATGAGACCGCCCTCATTTGATAGAACTGTGAGATCGCGGCGCTTCTCCCACTGGGGTCCACCAATGCAAACTACCCGGATGCAAGAGACCTCCTAATTTGACTGTGAAGTGAAGCAGATCACGGATGAGGCGAAGGTTATTTTGTGTAGTCCACGCGAACTATTAACTTTAAATAAAGTCCTCGTGCTCTCGAGACTAAGGCTCCTTTACTTTAGTAATACAAGACTAATTCACACAAGTTTCAATCTTAATTTCTAGGGGAGCGAGTGGTTAGAAATCACTGATTTTACCCCTATCTTATAGCTTAGACCCTAGGGAGTGTTATTAACTTTAAATCTTTTACGACGTTTCAATCTAACCAATTTTATGACAATTTTACTAATTGAGCTCAGAGGGAGAGAATATACAGCTCTACTTGATATTGGGAAAATTCCAAAATTTAGCAGGAAAAAGTTCTAAAAAATCCACATTTTACCATTGAATTTTCCAAAAAATACAACAGAAAAACTCTAGAATTGAGATTTTGTGAGTTTTGATGCCAAGGTAATTTTTTGCAGTACACAAATGTGTGTATCTCGTCCCCAAGGGAAAACAAAATAGTACACAAATGTGTGTACTTAGTCCTTATTAGGTTAACCAACTAAAAAATGACTTTAATAATGCATCGACTTACATTTAAGTTAAAGTATACTGCAAAAAAACAGGTGTAAGCACACATCCATCCCGCGGGTGGTGTTAATTTATCACCATGTGGTATTAAAAATCTGGACACCTTGCAGTAGATTCTTTAATCTTTACAGTAAAATTTGATCACCTCGCAGCAAAATCTTTAATCTTTACAGTAAAATTTGGATACCTTTTTAGTAAATTATTTAATCTTTACAGTAAAATTTGCATACTTTACAATAAATTGTAAAGATTAAAGAATTTATTTCAAGGTATCCAAATTTTACTGTAAAGATTAAATAATTTATTGCAAGGGATCCAAATTTTACTGTAAAGATAAATAATTTAAAAATTTGGATACCTTGAAGTAGATTATTGCATATGCAATTCAATTGAGAATGTATTGAGGGATAGAGTCCGGGTACGCCCCTTGACTTTGAAATTGATTTAGTTGATTAAAACTTTATAAAATGTTCTCCTTTGTATGGTGAAGACGCCCCTTTACTCAACTCGAGATTTGATTGGTTTGCGGGATCACAAGCTCCGCCTCCCTGCTACCCGGATACGCCTTCCCTAACTTACCCGGGTATTTAGGCTCCACCTTTTTCCCGGAGTGTCCGCTACTCTGATGGCCATTTGCACTTCGACTTTTGATTATTCAACTATGAGGATATGGTTTGTATTTTAAAACCGCGGCCAATTCTTGCTGCAACTTGGTGGCCGATCCGCTAATGCTTAAATACATTGGGATTTCAAACTTGAATTACTTTATCAATTCTTAACCGATTTTCAAAATTAAACATGTTTTGGAAACATTGACCCTTGTACTATAATATATATTTTCACATTTTGAAATTTTGACCTTGTTGACCTGCAATCAGGGTCCCAAGGTCAAAAAATGAGAAAATTAATTTTATATAAATAAATGAAATATTATTGCCAAACTTTATCGAAAGCATTTCATAGCTCGTTTTTGAACTATATCGACAACGTACATCAGGTCACGACTATTTTGAAACATGACCACGCCCATTGGGGGTGTGCCAACTGTCGACAAGATTGAGTTTAACTTAAAACATGGCATGCGACATATCATTTTCTTCGGGCTGAAGAGGGCGTTACATTGGTATATACATTTTCGAAAACAACCACACCCCCTGTGGGTGTGCCCCCAAAATAATTGGATTTTAGCGAAACCATATCATGTGATGTATCATTTTGTTCAGGGAGATGGGGGCTTTCTCCATATGTACAAAATTTTGAAAACAACCACACCCCCTGTGGGAGTGCAAGTTGTACGCTGCTATCGCTTTTAAATTTTACTACACTGAACATTGCACACTAATTTTAGTTTTTGAGAATTTGTAAGAAATTATGAGAGCTGGAGAGATGATGCGAGCGCATGGATGAGTGAGGCACAACTGAAAAAAAAACGCCGGCAGGTGACTCTTCCATTCACAAACTCGACAAGACTACCCGTTTACTTTAATAATAGATTATGAGGAAATCCACGCCCAATGCACGTCATAAAACGACATTATTATGATAAGTGAATATCTTGTGATTAACATTGAACGAAAATGTCTTAATATTATTACATGTTTATGAAGTGTATTTACCAGTCTGCAAAATTGTAGAGGCAATCCGCTCGCCAATTGCCTCTATCAGGCGTAGTCCCTCCCGTGCCCATACTCCTGTCGTTTCCATGGCAACGGGGATAAAAATGAAGCGGTCATGGAGGAAAACGTACTTCTTCTTCTTCCCCTCTTCGGCGGCATGAGCGGCGGCTCCCGGTCGAGTGGATGTTGAGACGAGGTGGGTGGGGGCAAAGGAATCGCTGCAGGTAAAATCCCATGCCATGGCGCGCCCTCGTGTCCATGGGATTAGGGTCATACCGTCAGGGTGTTTCCCGTCCGCCCGCGAGCATCCCAACGGCGCCCTGACGCATGGGACTTCGGCGGAGCGCAGGGCGCGCGCGATGATGTCATTTTCCGCGATGTGGCGGGAGTGGCGTCCTGCGCTCTTCTTACAATGCAGGCCGTGGTAGCCTCTTTCCGTAAATTGCGCACCGCACGGACACTTGTGTGGTTCGCAGATGTTGCACCCTAGGCGCAGGGCGGTAGCGATCCTGAAGGCCTCATTTGGAAGGTGGGTGCCCAATTGGGGAGAAGGAAGGGTGTGAAGCCACGCGTGAGGTTGAGTGACCGCGAGGAGACGTGCCATATCTTCGGGCCCCGTTGCCCTGTCTCGCAAGTTCTTGAAGGTGATGGAATGAAGTGGACCCTCCCACGCCGATTGCATCCCCCCGAGGACGTCCGATGGCTTCTCCACGCCGGTTGCCAACATCTCCCACGCTTTCTCCGCCTCATCCAGGGTGTGGCGATGACATCTTCCGGAATGAGAGAGGTGACAAGGGGCAAGGCGCTGTGGACTGACGCGATAAAACACGGCATCGCCATATCCACAGCGTGTCTTACCCCGAGGCCTCCCATTTTCACCGGAAGTGAGGACTGGAGCCAGGCATCAGGAGAAAGGTCGCAATTGAGGGTTTTTCCTAACTTGTCGCCATGGTATTTAATCAACCAAAATTCCAAATGAATTGTTGGGTTAGGTTAGGTTAGGATTTTTTATAAAATTTGCGAAATGTGTTTTTTTGCGGAACGGATTCACACCAATATTTGGGAATCTTCATAAGTTGTATTGAGAGTACTCACGCCAGCCTTCGCTAATTTCGCAACTTCGCATAACTTAAGTTTGCCATATTTTGCAAACTTCGTAAACTTTAGAAACCTAGTGATTTTTCTTGACAAATTTACCCTGCTCAAGGGTATGCTTTTATTTCGCAAAATAATATTGCAAAGTTTGTTGCGATGCGAAATAAAATATTGCTGTGCGTCCCCGCATTGAGAAGCTGCCTGCGCAAGCCGAGAAAACGTCACCCATTACTTCACACAGTCCTAATTCTAACATGCAGTATCTGAAATACTAAAAACGTCTTTACTGGCTTCCTCCTGCCATGACAATTTATTCAAAATTTGTAAACTTGTAAATCTAATTTCACATTTAAAGTAATAAAAAATATTAATTTCGCAAATTATTTTGGTGGGCAGGCCAAATACTCGCATAGAAATCGGTTCCTCTCAGCGCAGCTTAATGTCACCCAAGCCCCGTCTTCCGCCGGGTGGGCGATGTGTGCTTTACGAAACGCAACACAAGTGTTGGGACCACTAAACTGCCATTTTGCAGCATGGTCGCTATCGCTGACAGTTGCATTCGTTGAAGTCCAAAATAAGTTATCCGTGCTTCGAACTGCGTCAGTAGCACCAATCCAAAAATCTGTATAACCGGGATTTAATTGTTTTATTAACTTCTTTATTAATTTCTTTATGAATGATTATGAATGATATTTTGAGTGATTTCTCAATATCTATCGTCACGCCGCCATTGCGTCACCAATCACAATACTCTGACACACATATTTTATCCACTTACGTGTCCAATCTACGTTTCCAACATTCACAACGTTCGCCTTCAAGTACGCTTGTTCTGTGGGAGTAAGAATTTCTGGCAGCTTCATCCCACCCGAGGTACAATATGTCTTGGCTTGTCCCCATGTCTGCAGTGGCAGGATGTGCGGTAGATTAAGATCAAGCTCAGTCCAAAATATGTAATTTTCAGGGCTTACCAGTTCATTCATCGCCATAAAGTACAATTTCCCATTTACTCCCCCAATAGGAATCAAATCAGGAGTTTGAAAATTCCCTATGTATAATATTTTTAGTGCGTATTAGTGATTTGATGGATTAAAATGGTAACAATTTGCTACCGGCGCTCTGCTACCGTCTTTGGTAATAATTTGTTTACAAGAAAGCACCAAAACCAGTAATGCTTTACCACAAGTATGGCAACAACGGATTTAACTTCTCGAGATTTGTTACAATAAAATAACGAATTATCACAATGCTGCAGTTACACAGTGACACCGCGATTGTTACCAGTTTAAATCAGAGTGTATTTTATGTTAATTCTGACCTGAATGTACTAAGGAACTGAGGCAGATCAGGACGAGTGTCCAGGATATTTTTGCCATAATTTTATTGTGTTGGGGATTGAAGTGCAGTTGGATTATGAGAGGTGTTGGACCATCGTGGCGTTTTTATACCGTGATTCTAAACGGCGGCGACATTCTGATGTCGGTTGCGTCACTAATTGAAAAAATGTAAGTCGGCGTCTTTCTAGATTAAGCTCGACTGTATTTTAAATAGTACTTACATAAAACTGACTCGGCACCGCACTTTCAAAAACATCAATGTGATTAGAATAAATCAGTCGAGCTTAATCTAGAAAGAAGCCGACTTATATGTTTTCGGTTACCTGTCATATTGAGCCCACGGTATAAAATCCAAATTACAAATAATCTCCTGCTCTCCACACGTAAATAATAGTCAAGTTCAGTATGATTTATTTCACACTCAAAGTCAATCATTCAAATACAAAAATATAAATTGACATATAAATTGAGTTGACATTGTTCCACCACGTTCGACGGAATGCTTCAATTTTTCTGTTATTTTTGCACTAAATGATGACAGGTTACCGAAAACATGTAAGTCGGCTTCTTTCTAGATTAAGCTCGACTGATTTCACTAATACGCACTAAAAATATTATATACAGGGAATTTTCAAACTCCTGATTTGATTCCTATTGGGGGAGTAAATGGGAAATTGTACTTTATGGCGATGAATGAACTGGTAAGCCCTGAAAATTACTTATTTTGGACTGACTAGGTATACATACTCCTGAAGTGCAACTTGAGTCGGAGGTCGCCATTATACGCATTTGACCGACTAATACTAGTGACCCAATCTACAAAAATTTCCATGTAAAACTTACATCCGGCCGCGATATGACGACTTTTGTGACGAGAAAAGGCGCGTTTTTCCAATGGTGGAGTGAATGACCTTTCCGTCGCTCCCCTTCTCCGCTGCTCCTCTCCAACCACTCGATCACTCAAGAAAAGGTTCGAATTTCAAAACGTCTTTGTTTTAAGTAAATGCACAAAAAAATATGGTGGTAATAGATTAATACCATCCGGTCACCATACATGACTACCGCCTTGTAAGAAATTGTTACCAACCGGAAATATATAGTTGCCGTACGGTTATAAATTGATACCAACTGGTAAGAAATTGTTACCAAGCGGAAATAAATTGTTATGCCTAATACGGTAAAGATTTATTTCCATATGGTAACAACGATTATAACCACAGAGGTAACAAAGTGAAAGAGTTAATGTAGTCCAAATGGGTAATAATTTACTACCACTGTGGTAATATTAGTTGTTACCAGAATAACGGTAATTTGGTAAAGGGTGGTCAGTAATGAATGTTATCGATTTCAAATGCATATATATGGTAGTAAACATTTTGCCCCGAACTTCAAGTACCACCAACTTTGTACGAAATGTAATTTGCTGCCTGAATCAGGAAACCGGATGAGAGATTTCAAACCGTTCCAAAATGAGGTCAAAAACTTCACAGCAGCTCGCAAACGAGGTCTGCCACTACTACGAAAAAGTGGTCGCCCGCTCCAAGACATTGGCCTACAGTCACTTCAAAAGTTTAGGAATTCATCCGGTGACAATTTGTCGCATACTACAGAGATATGAGGCTACTGGAACAGCAAATTACCAAAAATTAACTGGCCGTCCGGTGCGTGTAATGACCTCTGAAGTTATAACATCCGTAGACAAGCTGTACAAAAAGAATTCAGGGGTGTCAGGACGAAATTTGGCCGAAAAATTGAAGTTACCAAAAACAATTATACATATTATTAAAGCTCAGAAGTTGAACATTAAATCCTTGAAAGCCATAAATGCTCCAAAATATACTGAACAGCAGAAAAAACGAGCTAAAACCATCTCCGCCAAATTGCAGAAAAACGCCTAGACCCCAAGTTATCCAAGATTCTGGTCATGGATGACGAGACCTACTGTCCCATTGATCCAAACGACGTTCCTGGAACAAAGTACTACTCTTCCTGTGATAAAAAAACTGTTTCCTAAAAATATAAATATGAATCGAAAGCAAAATTTCCTAAGCGGTACTTAATTTGGCAAACCATTGACTCACTGGGAACCGTCTCGAAACCATACGTGGCCACCGCCACAATGAACTCCGAGAGATATTTGACCGAATACATAAAAAAGAGATTGATCCCCTTCATCAAATAAAATATTTTAAATAAAAAACCTTCTTTGTTGAGGTAAGCTGCAAATGAGAATCCGGCAGGAATGCATAATCAATAAAATTACCAAAAACCTTATGTTTTGATTCCTTAGCTCACCGTGGGGCTATTTATGAAGTATTTTCTGTATTTATTTAACGAGCCAAAAATAAGAATTGAAGCGAGTACTATGCACACGATTGCACAAACTTTAAAACCTACAGTGCAGACTTGATTTAGCCCGAGCCAGGTTTGGAGAGTACTAACGTGATTTCAAATTTGATATTTCATGTCCACTTGTCATTTTTTATCAGCATACCAAATTTCAGCCAAATACGACAAGATTTAGAATTCGGTATGGGTCACCCCCTGGGGCCCCGACACTTCAAATTTTTTCCAATGTGACTTCACCATAGTTGCATATAAATCGTTAGCAACCCCAAGACTAAAATTCAGCTCGATTGGAGGATTTTGAAAAATCAGTATGGGTAACCCCCTAGGGTCCCTCAAGATCAAAATTTTTTCAATGTGACCTGACAATCTTTCACTAGAAACTATCCGGGACCTCCATACCAAATTTGAGCTTTCTAGGATAATTTTGAAATTTTGATGCATAATACCCCTACTACCTATGTTACCCCCACAAGTCTGATTTTTTAAAAATTTTAAGTTTAGCTTCATGGTACGTGTATATACCTCCATTGGTACTAGTTTTCCGAATTTCAGCCCTTTACGAGTATTTCAAATATTCTGATCCAAAAACCAAAGGGTCCCCCCTTTGGTTTTAAAAATCAACACCACTAATCAGACCCCCACCGGTCCAAATCTTTTTTGATCAAACCCATCTTCGAACTTAACCTCGGCCTGGCCGAGATACGCATTTTAAGACCAAGTTGGTCCAAATCGGTCCAGTGGTTCGTCCGCTATCGTGTATCAGACAGACGGACGGACGGACCGACATGACGGTTCCATAAGCCCTGGCTTGGGCTAAAAATATAACATTATTTGCGAAAGTAGGAAAAGAGACTTGTAATTAAACCATAAAATTGAGATGAATCAGTTAAACGATAAGACGACAACAAACATTTATTCATCTCAATTTTAGATGAAATGTCGGAACGATACGACAGTACTGGAAGTACAGAGACAACTGTAGCAGGAGTCAAATTATTGATAATCGGGAATAGTAGCGAAACATAAGCATGATTGTAAACCAGTTTGTATTTGTATTGATATTTCACTTGAATAAAGGATTTTACTGGATTGACAAAACTACAATTGTTATGTTGAATTGAACCTAACCTAATAAATAGCCCCACGGTGAGCCAAGGAATCAAAACATAGGGTTTTTGGTAATTTTGTTGATTATGCATTCCTGCCTGATTCTCATTTGCAGCTTGCCTCAACAAAGAAGGTTTTTTATTTAAAATATTTTATTTACAGGTTTGTAAGTGAAGTTGAATGAATACATATATGTACATCACATAAATGTGATATATATTCTAAGTAGCAAGTTGCTACTGGCAACTAATGGAAGAAATATTTATTATATAACCTGTACTAAGAAATGACTAAAATTATCATAACTTAATGATTTCTCAACCGATTTCATCCATCTTGGTCTCAAAATTTGCAGAATGAATAACCCCATAATAAAATGAATATGCGGGTATATGTTACTATGACCAAAGTTGCTTAAAATCCCATTTGAAAGTGTAAAAGTCGATTTACACATGGATAAGTACAACTTTTCGCATTCTCCATATGAAAAACCCGTGCTCCACATAGTTGTCTGCATCTTTTGTTTCAACATTTTTCCCGTACGACCCACCGTTTAGGCTGTAGGTTAGTGGACATATTTGAAGTAGGGTTTGGAAAGCATACTTTGGCTTTGCCGTAACTATGAGTAATTTTTGTGTAACTACGTAATTGTGCGGAGCAATTTATATAGCGCTTGCCTCACCAAAGAAAAACGTGATGTTCTTTTCTGGCCGGACATGGCAAGTTGTCATTATTCTCGTTTTAGGTTAGTTTAGGAGTACTTGGCGTCCAAAAAAATAGATTTTGTGAGGAAAAATGACAATGCACCTAACGTCCCAAAGGCAAGACCGATTGAAAAGTTTTGGGCGTTGTGTAAGGCAGAATATCGTAGGCGAAAAAAGGTAGCCAAGAATTTGAATTCGTTCCGTCAGATATGGGCAGTCGCCTGCATTTTGACGACTTGAGAAGGTATAAAAGGACGACCGTCAGCCTGAATCTGGATCATTCACTCTGCAGCCGTGACGGCCGCAACAATGCTAACTTATGAATGATACTTACTAATCTCCCTTTACCTTGAGCATGAGATTTGCTCCCGTCACCTGGGTCTGTGTGTACGGTTTCCTTACTAAATTGGTTACTAATATTATGACATTTCGGTTAGTTTGTGAGCAATATGGACGTAATGCTTAGATTTCGTTAAATTTGATTAAAACTTTTCTATTATTAACAAAACTCCCACTGGTATTCACATTCACACTTCTTTCGAAAGGATTTATACAAAAAATCCTTTACCGCAGTGTGGTACAAAAAAAGATCAAAAAGAGCAGAATCAGAAAAATCGTTTTATTTACAAAGTTGGGACACCCTATTATTAACTTTATTTCCACCTCACACGAATTGTTCCAGTCCTAAGTTAATTTCTTTGATGCTCTACAGTGCTGGTTAGAAATTGTCACAGAATGGTGAGAAGAATTTTTAGGAAATTTAAACTTGTCACCGCTCGGTATAAATTATCTCACCGGAGAGTAATAAATTTAAATTTGGTGGAAATAGTTGTCACCATTCTGCAAAACTTTCTAACCAGCACGGGCGAGCATCATAGTAAAGAATCGCGCGGGTGTAAATTGATTTGTATT